TGGGTGTTTGGAAGAATTTCTTCTCTGAAAGGGTTGTCAAACCTTGAAACAGGCTGCCCAGGGCAGTGGTGGGGTCACCATCCCTGGTGGGAGTGGGATTTAAAAGTTGCATCCATGTGGCACTTGGGAAACGTGGTTTAATGGTGGCTTTGGCACTGCTGGGTTAATGGCTGGACTAAGCCTTTTGGCAATCAAGTCTGGCTATTTTGGCAACAAGAGGCATCACGAATTATGTAGGCAATTTCCCTCTTTAGGAGCAGGTCCCAGCCCTGTCCTGCCCCAGTAAGAGCAGCGAGGCAGGAGCTGCTCTGGGAACAGCAGGACTTGTGTGCCTGCACCTCAGCTGGGCTGGGACCAAGGAACAGAGCACGTGGTGTGTTGGAAATGAATTGAAACCACAGAGAAATGGGGTAAAAAATGAGATCCAAGCCCAATTTGCAGCAATTCAGTCTTGGAGCTGTGGATGTGACCATGCCATGGGCAGGATGTAATGGAGCCCACTCAGTGCGTTATCTGGCACTAGAAATGAGGGTTTCTTCATCTCTAAAAGCTGGGCTTTCATCCCAAATTTAAACCTGGGTGTTCAGGTAGGTGTAAGGGAGGATTCTAATCCATGAGGCTTCATGAAAATCAAGAGATATTGGGTTAAAACCCCTTGGGGAGGGACCTGATCTGACCCGCACTTTCGTAGCACAAATTCTAGTTAAGTAGAAAAGTGGCCACAAACAGCAGCATTTTGGTTCTTTCTTGAACTCCAGAGCCCTGTGATGTCCTTGGAGGAAAGGGAGGTGCTGGGAAGCAAAGCCTCGCTCCTCATCTCCTTACTGGGCTTTTATCAGACTCTACCACGATGTTCCTGTTCAGATTTCAGCACTCTGACCCCTCAGTCACCTTTCTTATATAAACAATCATTACAGACCAGAATCCTGAGGACTGGCAGCAGTTAGTCAGGACAGATGGCCTCTGCCTCTGACAGCTCCAAAACATCACATAAGCCTCATCTTTTCAAGAAAGCCTTTACCAGATGGGTCTAATTTAAAGCATGGCCTTTCTCATTTCTTCCTGAAGGACAGCTAATTAAGTGCAGAATGGATGTCTCTGCTCCTCCCAGGGCAGGAACAAGTGGGTGCTTGATATGGAAACATTTATGGTTTGGTTCCAGCACATCAGTGAGGAGAGATGGTGAACTCATGAGAATAAATATTGACAAGTGTCTTGAATTCCCATTTTTCTGAGTTTACTAGAGCTGCCCCAAAAGAGGCCAGTTCTTGAGAAATATCTTGTGAAAAAATGTCTCTAATTTTTTTATTGCTCTGCAGTGACCAACCCCACTTGTGCTATCTCTTATCAGTCCTGTTTTTAGTCTGCTGCCAAAATCTGTGGTCACGGCTGAGGAGCTCAGAGATCAGCTCAGAAGAGGTTGAAACAAAGCTCTTACCCTGTTTTCCAAGAGCTCCAATCCAGTTGTTTCTGGCTGTTGTTTCCCACTCGATTGTCTGTGGTGGGAAACTTTATTCTCTTTTCCTCTTGTGCATCAAAATAGCTCTGAGAGATTCTTCTCCTCCAGGCAGGAAACCCTGAAAACTCTGGATCTGTTCAATTAACTGCATTACAAACTGATTTCCAGCCTTGTCTCTCTTCTCTTACATGAGCTATAAAACCCCTCCTCTCCTCACCTCCTCAGTTAAACTAAAAATGGCCTAATTTTTTTACATCCTTTTTACAAGCGTGTCTGCATGGTAGAAATGAGGAGTTCTGGCTTATCTTGTTATTATGTAAATATTTTTGTGCTTCTAGAACAAAGTTTTTCTCTCCCTTTGATCCAGCTTTCTTGTAGTCAGTTTAACCTCCAGAAAGAGTCAAGAGATTTGGGGAGATTGCCACTGGCATTATTCCTGAGGAAAACTGGAGAGAGAAAAGAAAACTCAAAATTACAGCTCATTTAGAAATGGAAGCAAATGAAAGGAAGAGATTGTCTTTCAGTCTTTTTTTAAGCAACTTTTTTTGCTTAAAATATCTGGGACCAATGTAAAAATAGCATCTGCATTGTGTTACAAGATGAAAGTGGTTCTTTTCCAGCAGTCTGGGAGGGTGCTGTGCCCCAAACTTGTGCTGTGGGCAGGATCTCCAAATTACTGGAATTATTTTTATCCTTCCATACTTTTGGAGTTTTAGCTGATTGCTCTGGACTGTGCTGGCAGCAGGGGTGAACAGTCTTCCAAAAAGAGAATTTTAGGACAATTTCAAACTCCCACAAGAAGAAGTTGCTTCTAGTTTCACCAATTCCAGGGAGTTATCTATTATTGGAGCTATGGAGTTATTGTACAGAGTTACATTCCCCACTCATAAAATCAGGACCAAAGCACCAGTGCTAATGGGAGGGAAAGCAGAAAACACTCTGTAGTTAAAAATGTTTATTTACACTGAAAAGTGATTGTATAGAAGATATAATAGTAGAGACTTTGGCAGCCTGTTGGGTAGGAAGAATGACAGCAGAAGGTCTGGTTGGACTCATGGTTCTGTGCCAGTGACCAGGACTATCAGCTTGGTTTCCTGTCTGGAGAAAATATATGTATGTGGGATATATATAGCTATATATATATATATATGTCTTGTATGTGTGTTTGCCTGGATGTTTATCAGTTCAGCTGTTAGTACCTCTTTGAAAAAAGAGGTCATGCATTGAAGAAACAAAACCAGCTGAAGATGGTTCCAAAGTCAGGGCTGTGAAGGGAAGAGGGACCACTGCACTCGGAGTGTCTGCCTGGAGCCTTCTGGAATCGCGGCCAGAAGTAAAACTTGGCAGAGCTTTGTTGTGCCTCGGTCCTCCCCTTGCTCAGAAGAGCTGATTGATCAGTCCAAGTGTGCTGAAATTGGGGTGAGGGTTTCATTAGCCTTGGATCAGGCCCTCAGCACTGGATACACTGGTTGCTTGAAAATAGGTAATTAATGGTGCTTTATTTTTCACGTTTCCAAGGCAACACAACCCCCCAGGACATTGCTTTCCAGTCCATGAGCAGAAGCTTTTGGCTGCTGCAGAAGTTCCCCTCTGTCTCATCTGAAGCTGCTCTAAAGGTACCAAAGCCTTATTTCCTGTCATTATAATCTATATCCAAAAAGTAATGACAATCAGATGCTGCTGATGAAATGATCTGTTCTCACTGCAGAACTCACTCAATCAGTGGAGCTCTGCTGTTCAAATAGATAATTAGTGTTGTGACAAGTGTGACTGTAAATGCCTCAGTTTGGTGGCAATGTTAGGAAGTGTGACAAAATTAAATTATTTGTCTGCCTTCAGCGTGGCCCTCCTTGGATTGCTAATGAGGGAAATTCTTGTTAAACACATGTCCTTTTCTGATCAACTGCTTTCCAGGCCCTCAGCTGGGAAAATGATTTATTATTTGGATCATCAGGGGCACGAAAGGCTGGACTTTCCCTTGTTTTCTCTGGCTTGTTTCTTTTCATGTCTTTAGCTGGTGTAACAGGTCACTGCTTGTGTTCCAGCATAAAATGGAATGATCCCCTAAAGCGGAATCACCAGGGAGAGCAATCCCAATGGACACCTTTCCTGCCTGTCAAAATCCCCTCTTCAGAAGGAATGGGCACAGGGGGGCATTCTGGTGCTCCAGTCTCAGGGGAACATCTGCAGCACCTTTCCTAGAGGTGACAACAAATTCAATCTACTTTTCTACAAGGGCGTGGAACCCTCCCTGGGTGCTGCTGGGGGATTCCAATCCTGCACCCTCAGCTGGTAATGGAGAGGGGAAGGAACTCCACGTCCCTCCTCTCATTCTGCATCCCAAGGAGTGTGGGATTTGGGAGGCTGAGGGCACTCCCAAGTTTCTCTGTCCTGATGGGTAATTTTGGATGTCCCCCTGTCCTAGGAGTTGCCTGGAGTTTAAATAATGATCAGGGGCTGAATTAATGAGCATCTTGAAGCTGCACCCTTTCCCATGGCTCCCGACGGGATGCTTTTGATCCTTCCTTCCTTTCTCAGCATTTGCCAATGCCCTGATGTTCCCCCCACCCAAAGGGAATTAATGGCTGAGCTGGAATGAAGAGCACAGCACAGAGAGCAGGCATGGCCCAGACCTCACAGCACTAATTATGCCCTTAAAGGGTAAGAAAATAATCTTTTGGGTACATTGGGAAGAAAGTGTCTTAGCAAAGCTGCATGGGGTTACTGGCACGTCTGCTGTATTTGTGCATCTGAAAGGGGAAAAAAAAACCACTTTCAAAGATACTTCCTGACCTCAAAAAGATCAGCAGGGAGCTCAAGAAAGGAAATTTAATTCCAAGTGAGTTTATCAAGTTTGCTTGACCCTTAAGGATGGAAAAAGCAAAGGAAGGATGCACATGAAGGTCCTGCGAAATTCTAATACTAAAACACTCTCATGCACAAACTGTGAAATCTCAAACCAGAGAGTTTAAACCCAAAGCAAGCGAAGAGCACAGGTTGAATTACAACAAGGACCAGTGCAGACACTGCAAGATGGCAGTTCAGGTGATGAAGAGGATCTGTGAAAGGAAAGGTGAGTGTCTGTCAAAATATCAGATATTTTGGGGAGGGGAACTTGGTGATGCACCTCACGAGAAGCAGCACAGTCAGGGGATGCCAACGAGGTGCCCACACCCTCAGCTGGCCTTGGGAAACACTTCCAAGCCAAAGGTGGGACATTAACAGCACCTCTGAGAAACAGAGCTTCGCTGAGGCTGCTGGAGTAGCTTGGAAAAAGAGGAATTCTGTCCTCTTTCCAGGCTGTCCCTCCTGCTTCCCGGTGAGACCCAAGCTGTCACCATGCCAGGGAGGCAGCTGTGAGCTGGGGAAAGCCTTCCCAGAAAATCCCTTTTCCAAGGGGGCAGACTGATCTCCAGAGCTGCAGTGAGTGGTGCCCCACGCCCCCCACCCCAGGGCAGCTCCCACTGTGCAGGCACCACACCTAAAGTGCCTCTTCTCATCAAGCAGCCTGGGTAAAACCAGAGCAACGTTCACTCAGTTCTATCCCTGCTAAACACATCCCCTTTTTATTGCTTTTCAGGGGTTTCAAAGCATTAGCATAAAACAATCCGGGTGGCTGTTTTCCCTAAGAGAGCGAGGGCCTGTTTACAAACTCGTTTTATTTTCACAATATTCCATTGTTATTTATTTCAGACAGAGAGCTGTCAGATTAATGCACTCCCTCATGCAGGACAGCTTGCTTTATTGCCTGTTATTAAGACATAACATATATAACCTGACAGGCACTGCCCACGTCTGCCTTTCCACCACTGAAAGGCAAATTAAGTTGAAAATGGAGATCTCCAATATTTCTTTGGGCTGAAGTGATATTAGTTTTTAACTCATTTTGTATTCATAGAGGATCCTGCATATTTGTAACATATCCAACAGTAAGCTGTCCAAAAGAAAAAAGTTGTTTGTTTTGTTTTTTAAATTCTTATTCCAGCTACCTCAGAGAAATTCAGGCTTTCGAATACAGTTCTGCTTTTGAATAGGGAATTGAAAAAAATGCAATTTACAGTGCTGCTTTACTAAAAACTGTGACTGAAACCTATCCTTCTTTCTTACTAGATTTCAAATACTAGTTGTCACAAAGTGCTGGTTGGTTTTTCTGGAAGTACCAGTCAGAGTGGAATTGCAGAACTGCCTTCCCCACCATCCACAGTTCCTGTTGTATAAGCAATGGCATTCATATTTTTCATTATTATTCATTAGTTTTCTTTTTTTTTCACTCCAGGACTGAATTGCTAATTTTGGGCAGTCACAGGAGCTGCTCTGGAAATGTCTGCTAGAGGTAAGTTTTTCCCTTTCCTTATCCCTTTACTGCCTCTTCACCTTTTCCTCCTGTACTTTCCCAGTGACAACTTATTTTGTTCCAACTCACTGGAGAATCAAGTCAGTTTTATTAATGCAAATAACCATTAACTAAATTAACATGATATAAGAAACAGAGATCAGTTCAAAGGAGACTTATATGGACACTGGGGGAAGCACAGTGTGTCCACCTCCAACCACCTGAAAGGGAAAACCCCTTTTATTCAATACACTTGTGTTGGCATCACTATTAATCCTTATGGCAGCACCTGCACCTGCTCCCTGTTATGAAGGTAGAATCCATGCTTTAAAAGCTTATTCTGTGGTGCCAGGGAGAAGGTTTTTAGTGCTGAAAAGTCTGGGCTTTACAGGAAGATGCAGCTGTGTAGGAAACGGGAAAATGCAGTGGAAAACAGGATGTGCAACTTAATGCTGAATAGTGATACACTGAATAAATTACTAGAAAGAACTAACTCTTCTTCAATATAATTACATTGGGGTTTCTTTTCCATTTCAGAAGAGAGGAAACAGCCTAATTGGATAGATGGGAAATGAAGCCAGGGAAAGGGAATGGCTTTTTGCCCATTGTGCTGTAAACCTGTGGGCAGAGGTGGAGCTCAGCAGCTCAACCACTTTTAGATGCATTAAACCCCCCAAATGTGCAAATATATAATAGGAACAAGCAATAATACTTTGAAATATTCTATTATCCCTCAATGTAATAAATATTTTATTAGAGCAATAGAAAAAAATGCATACAGATAACCATAGGATACACACACAACTGGAAGTCTTAAGGATAAATTTCGAACTTTTCAATATGAAACAAGATAGCTGGTACATATCTCATGGAGATATATAGCTAGAAATTAAATAATACAATGTAATTGCATGAGAATGGCAGTACAGGAACATGGACTAGAATTGTGTGAAACAATAGAAAGATTCACCTTTTGTTGCATGAAACACAACTATATACTTACTAGGAACACCTGTATTTCCATCTCCCACCCACCCCCCCCTTTGCATGTGTCTGAAAACAACACTGGTTTGCCACATGGAAAAGCAACTAGTCATTTATAGCTCTATATATGTACAGTATATACAGCTCTTGCTTACCTCAACAGTTAGCACACAGAGTCATCTGGAGCTGATCAGGTAATCTGCTTATCTGAATGCATATCAAGGTATTTTTTTTTCTACAGTGCTACCATAATTTCATTAATCCTGGTTCTCCCTTTGTAGTTCTGTGTGTTGCAATTATACTGTGAAATTAAAAAAGAACAGTCTTTAAAAGGATATGCTTTATGACGTCATGTGAACATGTCCTGTTACAGGGATGTTGTCAGCTCCCTAAGAGATGCCTAAAAGGCTGATTTAAGTAAATTCACAACTATAGAAGTCAAATGGACCAGGTTTAATGTATCTTTAATAATATACTGCTATGAAAGCAAGCACAGATTTCTCTATACTAGCAAGCCTGAAGTGCTGTTGTGTAGTTTTTTATTATATCCTACAGTATTGCCATAAACTTGCCAGAATCATGTGACAGCACTGGGTGCCAGACCAGGTGAGATAGTTTTGAACTGGTTAAAAAGCAGCAGGAAGGGAAGTTCTGACTGTAACACTGGATGAAGGATGTTTACAGTGCAGTGTGGCAGATGAAAGAGCAAGATAATTTGGGGCTGCATATCTGGAAGCACCACATCTCCAGGTAGGGAGTTGGTGGTCCTCCCTCTTCTTAAGGCCATGGTGCAAATGCATTTCAACAGTGCTTCCAACTGGGAACTTCTGTCAGTGGAACACTGACAGGAGTCCAGGGAGGGCAATAAAAATGAGCCTGAAGGTGGGGGAATTTGGTTATGGATGAAGAACCTGGTTAAGAAATAGAAGGTGTGGATTTGAGGAAGTGAACTTCAAAACTTATGGATGGAGAGGAACGGTGGGTGTTTGTTTGAAAAGGTGCATAAACATCTGTGATAAAACAGAGGCCTCTTTGAAACACAGCTGTGAGATCATTTCTCAGGAGCAGCAGTGGAGGCCCCTCTTGGACACCCCAGCGTGGACTGTGCAAAACTAAGACCCATATTGAGACTTTTCCCTCTCTTCCAGCTGGGATTTCTTGCCAGATTTAGAACAGCTGACACAAAGGGCACTAGGAAACCTGATCCAAACCTCCTGGGTTGTGACAGTCTTAAGAACAGCCACTTGGTCCCTGTGTTACCGTCTGATTGACAACACCCATGTCTCTGATTTCATCTTTTCTCTGTAGAACAGGATTGTAACAATGCAGAACATCCCCAGAACAGTTCAGTGTCACTGCAAAAATGGAGTTTCTCACTGAGCTAACCTCCTCCTCTGACCACAGTGCCACTGCTCTCCCTCTCTCTTACACTGTATCTGAAATATGTAATATGTAAACTCCTTTGGTTCAAGTATTAAGGCATTTTAGATTCCTTTTTAAAGGATTTGCTAAACTTTACATGGTATTTTTACTTCAACTTACAGTGAAATATAAAGAATTTAAAAACACGTCAGGATAGAAGAAAAACATGCATTAACCACTGCAGGTTTGTTTTTTTAAAAAAAGCACTTTAGTAACCAATTCTTTCTTTTTTTTTTTTTCTTGCAGCAAATGCAAATGTATCATCACAACACTGAATTAAGGGTCAAGGAAAATACAGTTGCTAAGAAGCTGGATACACTGAAGATATTCAAGACTGATGGACCAGAACCTCTTGCATCCATACCTGTGACAAATGGAAAAGGTCAGGATTAAATGAAAGCGTGACTCTGTGCTGTGCCAAACTATTACCCTTCCCAGATGCTAAGCAAAAAATATTGGTGGGTTTTTTTTTATTTCTTACAGGTAGTAGAGATTTACAAAAACACAGTAAATATTTTTAAACTACAGAAATGCCTTGCAAAATGCTGAAATGGTATGAATGGTTTCAGTACTCTGGTTTAGCTGACAAGGTGGTATTTGGTCAAAGGCTGGACTCGATGATCTTGGAAGTCTTTTCCAACCTTAACGATCTTGTGTTTCTACGACTCTACTTTCAAGGTAATAACTTTTTTTAAAAAAAAGGAGAGAAAGCAAAAAAGTTAACATTTTTAATCCTAATGTACATGGTAATTTACCAGTTCAGCAGAATGGAGTTTTTCAAGCATAAGGGTGTGACGACTGTTAATTGCTTTTCTTTTATGACCTTATTATTACCACCCGACGTGTAAGTACTAATTCTTTATATTTATTTATTTTGTTCCTGAAAAGACAAAGCAAAGGCAATCAGCTTGAACCTACTGGCTAGTCTGGGAATGAGGATCTGCTCGCTGCTGGTGCCATCCCCACCCTCGGTGGTCGCCCTCACTTCGATGATGTAATCGTCGTTGAACTGGAGCCACAGCTCGGCCGTCGTCTGCTCCGTGCTCAGCACGTTCACGCTGCTCTGGCTGCTGGTCCTGTACAAAACCTGCAACACAGGCAACATCCTCCCCTGGGACCTGCCCTGCCACTTTTATCTGGGCTTCTCAGAGTCAAGGTTTCAGTCTTTGAAAAGTGATGGCAGGTAAAGATCTGATTTTTCTTTTTGGTTTTTTTTTTTTGGTTAATATTCTCGGGCAGAATTATATTTAAAGAAAGAAGGTAACATCAATCAAGGCCCGTTATTACAGATTTAACTAGAAATGGCACATATTACATAGTATTTTTATTACAATTATTATTATAGGTAATAATATAATTGGTGGTGGGACACGTGAACAAGCTGTAAACATGAATTTCTTGCCAATACAACTCAGATCTTCAGCCTAAATCTTTTAAGCAGGAATATATTGTGGGATCCAGCTACACAGAGCTTATCAAAAACATCCTCAGCTATTCTTTTACACACAGTTATATGACATATTTAAGTACTTGTACATTTGTGTGCTGATTGGATTCAGAGCAGATGCAATTTCTATCAGGAAAATGAGCAAGTCCCACAGCAGGTAAGAAGAAAAAGGGTTTAAAAATATCAGTTTGATACATGTGGTACTAACAGATACACCTGGCCAGGAAGGGAAACTATGTCCACCAGGCTAAATCTTGGATTATTGGTTTCTTCTGAAGTGTTATATATTTATGTGTTATATATTTTTAGTGTTATGGATGTTCTAAGATCCAAGTGGGAGCCCAAGAGAAGACATTAGTGTACATTAAAGGTAATTAATTAGTGGTAAAAGGACCATGGTTATGAGACATTGTTAGAATGTGATTAAAATCCTGAAGAAGGACATGACATTGTGCATCCTCTGAATGTGAAAATGGACAAGGAAAAGCCAACTGTGGATTGCTTTCAGCTCTGTTTTCACTGACCTTATACCCAGTCACCTCGGACTCGTTCCCCAGAGCTGTCACCTCCTCCCAGCTCAGGATAACTCTGGAGTCCGTGACATTCCACACGACGTTTCCTGGAGGTTGACTGGGTGCTTGAAATACATAATAGAAGTATGACTTTAATTTAATTGGCATTAGTGATTTATTCAACAGTAGGAAATAGTTCAGGTAATTGACTGTCATTACATTTTGGATGCAAAAGCAACTCAAATGCAGGTTCCTCGTTTGCACACGTTACGGTTCAGAGGCTAAATTGGAAAAAATAGAAGGAAGGAAAAAACAGAATGCCACATAAATGTTATTTCTGAAGCTGAATTATCTGTTGATGGTCCTTCATTAAATGCAGCCAGATAGAAGCATGTGTCTTAGGACATTTATTTCACAGGTGTTTTTTTTTTTCTTTGTTCTTTTAACTCCAGATTCTGACCTGCAGCCCCTGCAATTTCCATGTCTGAGCTGGACAACCCTGAGCTTTGGCCAAGGCACTCTGCTGGCTTTTTGTTCATCAGCAACCTGAGCCTGTTATTTTTCCAAAGGAGCTGCATCCTCTGGGGCTGTGTTTTCATGTATTTGGAACTGCCAAGCTCTCAGGGCAGGCAGAGGAAGAACAAACCTCTTACGATACCTCAGGTTGGTGTCCCAGAAAATGGGCCATGCAGTGACACAATCAGTGATTAAAATCTTTGCTAAATGTGCTAAGGAAAACAATTTACTGTTGCTGTCACCTAGTGGAGGCAACTGCTGCTTAGGTGGACTGGACTTTGATGCTGGAGGTTCAAGTATCAAGCACTAATAGCGGTTTTCAACACTTGTATATCCATGTGCTTATGGAGTTTTTTTCCTCTTTTCTTCTCCTCATTTCAGTTCCTTCCCACAGGTAACACCCTACCTTCTTTCCATGAGCAGTCAGATCAAAACTCACCTGATTATACTTCAAAAATAGACACGAAAATGTAAGAAGAGTGAGCCTTAAAGAAATTATTCTGAAGTCAAACAACCACTCACAGGTATTTTTTGCAGCATTTGCCTTGTTCTATTCACTGAGTAAGATTTAACCTGATGTACTAATAATAACCACATTTTGGAAATGTAAAAGGAGATTGTTTCACTCCTGAGAATGAAGTGTTACAGCATGTATGAGTAGTTTTCACACTGGGATATTAAAGCTGAATTTCAAAAGAAATGAGTCACTCTTGAAATCCACAACAAAATATTAAGATGACATGTGAAAAAAAAGGAAGAATAATTACATATAAAAACTGTAAGCCTCTATCTATCACTTGGCTTATGGAAGGGATTCAGAAGGCTCCAATTTGCCTCAGACACCAAAATCTCCAGTAATCTTCAGTGTTCAGAACTGCAGAGCCTCAGCTGTACCAGGTCAGATCCTGATCCATCATGCCATGGAAGTACATGTCCAGGGCTAAGGATGCAAATAGCTGCCTGGATTTCTGAGACTCCTCAGATGCTTAAAGCTGGGCATGGGCATGAATATTTCTCTGAATTAGAACTGACTGACAGAACATTTGTGGTTGTATTTTAAGACTTTCTAAATATGAAATAATTGTGACACCTTGTCTTATAAACTTAGGCAAGTCTTCCCCAGTCGCTTGCCATTTTATATAGCATATTTTATAAAAACCCTCCATCTCTTATTTTTAGGCTTGCAAACAGGAATATATTTCAAATATAAAAGCAAAGATACTTTATTTGTCAAAGACTCAATTTTCAATCTTGAAATATACTGCCAATTGAACTGAAGTATTTGTATTTCTTGATATGGCTGCTGTTACTGAGAGGTACCTTGTAGGCCCTGTGGGGGAATGTAAATCCTTCACGGCGAAAAACACATCAATCACAAATATTCAAGTTAAAGTAGAAATAGGGATTGATTAAAAATCACACCTTTGAATGAAAAATCAGTTTCTGCTGCAGCAGCAGAGAGAATTATTTGTCTTAGTCAATTCAACTGGTAGTTAGCAAGATCCTTCAGAGTGACATTAAACTGCAGTGCAATGGTTTTGCTCTCTTTAGTCACCAGTAAGATGGTCATAAATGCAATTAGTTTTTCCTTTTTAATTATTCCAAATAGCAGCAATCTTGACCAAGGGCCTGATCCAGATCTGTTCAAACCACTGTCCAGTTCTCCCACATCCTGAAGGCCACTAAAAAAGGACTGAAAATCCCTGAGCTGACCAGGCTGGCACCAGCCACAAAGATGATTAATTAGGGAAAAAATTACTTATCCCATGTCCTGTCCAGGCTACAGGCTGTGAGTTACTTCAGCCAATTCAAGGTAACTCTGCATACATAAACTCTGGCAAATCTGAGTTGGTTTAGTCCTCAGTGACAGCCTGACACTCGTTTTTGCCTGTAATAATTTCTGATAAATTGGCTTATTTCATAATATTAATGACACAACTATTTCTGGTAGAAGGATGTTAATGACTATTCCAGGGAATTTGACCTTTCAGGCATATTTAATTGTATGTTCTTGTGCCTCTGACAGAAATACTTCAGGAGTGATGACCCTGATTCGGGGTTGTATTACAACCAAGGACCCCACTAAAAATATTTCCACTGTAGAAAAAATTAGTGCAGCCTTTCACAATCTGTTCTCCAGCCTAATTTCTCCCTTGTAACAGCAAAGTGGCCTCTTGTGCAATTTGTTCAAGGGGAAACAGTGGACATGAAGGATTGTTTTGCATGAACTGTATGAGGATCATTCGATTTCAAAAGCCATGCCCTGGAGAACTTATAAATATGTTATAGAACACTGAAAAATTCAACAAGTCTCTTTTTCCCCCTTCTGAAGAACAGAGATTTTTTTATTTTTCTTCTTTTCAATTTCTTCCAGTCATTAGCAGCATAATAAAGGTTCTGTGCAGCAATTACACATCCATCTTGGGTTCCACTGGCGTAGCTGAGCTTCGCTCGTCCTGCTGGACCCCACGGAGGGAGGAAGCTCCGAGCCTGATTTAATTGTGCAACTCACCCCTGCTCTGGACTGCACGAAAATCCAGGTCACTCACTCGTGCTGTGAGCCCCAGCAATGCCACTGTTTTCCCTACACACCCCACTTTACACTGCAGATACTCACGTGGCTTTTTCGTGGTGGCATTCACGGTGGCACTGAAGGGCCCTGCTCCAGCACTGTTGTAGGCACGGACAGCTGTGTAATAGGCCAAGTTGCTCCTCAAACCCGTGATTATTATTGATGTCTCATTCCCTGCAGCTTTGACCCTGTTTGAAGATTCTTCTTTTTGACCATTATTCCAGTACCTAACCTAGGAGATATGAAGAGCAAAACCATTTAAATCTTGCATGGAATGGACTGTTCACCCACAGGATTGCACTTGACTCTTTTAAGTGCATTTTTTTTTTTCCCCCTCAGCTGAAAAAGGTAGAAGTACATTAAAGTTTCAGAAATGTGTTTACTGTGCAAAAATAAAATATTCTTATCCATCTGCTTCTCACGCTTGCTGCTCTTTTTAGTGTGACCGTAGGAAAAAAGGAAATTGAAATATTAGATCTCTCTTGAATTAAGGAATGACAAGAGGAAAACCATTACTTCATTAAAGAGAAAACAAGTTAAACTCAGAAAAATGTACCTTATGAAAAAGTTTCCCTGAAAGTAAATGTAATTCTGAAAAAAAATGTGTCAGTTTGAAGATATGTTAGACACATGACTATTTATCAGCACAGGAAGAAAAACACAATTTCAGTCTGTGATTTTTTTTTTTTTTGCAATAATAGTTAGAACAAATTACCCTTCTTCTGGATGTAGGTGGGGCAGGAAGAGTAAGATTTGAGGCAATCTTTTGTAAACTTGGGTGGTTGTCCTGCAGCCTGCAAGACCCTTCTGGCCCGTGGCCATTTACAAAGGGGAGTATATTTTATTTAAATCAATGGGGGGAGGTATTTAAATATTTTTAGGTAAATAAACTCACCTCGTAGCCCAGTAACCTCCCATTGCTCATCTTCCAGGGAATGGGTGCCCAGGAGACCTCGATGGCCGAGGATGACAGGCTGGTGGCAGCCACTCCAGAGGGGGCTATGCTGGGCTCTGCATGGGGAAACCAAGGAAGGAGAGGTGACAAAAAGAACTGTGGACTGTGCAAATAAACATGTGACTAGAACATCTCATTTCTGTGAACTGTTGCTGTGTTCTCTGATGGAACAGCTCGCAGCAAACATCTGGAGGCAGCTCAATCCTGTACCTTCTTCAGCTGAAAAAACCGTGGTGACTGAACTGAAGGGCCCCTCTCCTTTGTTGTTATAGACACCAACTTTGACTTCATAGGGTGAGAAGGGCAAGATGCTTTCATTCCTGAACACGTATTTTGGGGTGTCAGGAGAGGTGACCACAGTCTGGATCCACGTTGTGGTGCCAGATGGACGGAAAGCAACGACGTAGCCAAAGCCTTCTCCGTTCTGCAATTCCTCAGGGATGGGCTGGGAGAAAAGCAACAGACAGAAATCTGAGTATGTTTTGCAGGAATAAAGTGCCAACAGACTTATGCACATGATTGCAACCAGGTTCTGGCACTGCCTTTGGCATCATTCCATCAGCCAATTAACTCTGGTACAGCAGAGCAAAATGTGTTCCCCTGAACCTATTTTAAGGTTTGCACTTCAAGAGGAGAACAACTTTCAGGTATTTTCTTTGTTTTCCACTAAGCATTCTGCTTTAAGAGACTCTTCAGTAAATAATTTTTCTTTCATCAATCCACAGTTCATAAAAAATGAATAATTGCTCAGTCAGCTATTACAGAATCCAATACTACTTCTGTACAGTGGCTTAAACCTTCCTCTGATGTAATTGTGATTAGATAACAGAGTAAGCAATGTTACTAACAGAATATTAACATTTTTTTCAATCATTAAGATGGGGATATCTAATACAAAGCAGCAGGTGAGTGTGTTGGTTAGCACATGCATCCAGAGTTAACGGCAGGAAAGCAAAACCTGCAAATTTACACTGTAAAGCCTAAATCTTTGGTTTAACCTTTCCTCTTTCCCTGTCCTCCTGGCCCTTTTTAGCATTAACATTTGTTTGAGAACACAAGCAATCCCAGCCAAACTAACTGAATTTCCTAGGGATTGCCACCCAGCACAGTGACACGTTTGGCAGCGAGGGAGGGAAGGCAAACGTGCAGAGCTCACATCACACACGGCACCAAGCACAGACACATCCCAGAGGAGAAGCTGCTGCAGCCAGGGAAATTCAGCTCTTAAGAGTGTGAATGAGAACAATCACCCTCTGAAGAAAACTTACATCCCACGTTATGACCAGCTCAGACCTGCTGCCTCCTCCCCCACTGACCTCAGAGGGGGGAATTTCGGGAACTGTGAAAAGGAAATGTAGAGCTGTCTGCACAGTGTAGAGACAAGAGACCACGTCACATTAACCTCATGCTCTGAATTTAACCCAGTTGTATTCATATTCCTTGGGCAACCAGGGTAAATGCTTTTGGGATAGGATGGGCAGTCCTGGAAAGCCCCAGCCCTGCCCCACATTCACCCTCCTGCTTCCCATCCCTGGGGCAGGCTGGGGTTTCTCTGAGCACCTGAAGAGCTCACAGAGTACATCATGTCTGCTGTGTTTATGAATTCTGAAAACTGCAGACATGCTTAATTTTTTTAATAGGGTTCACTTATATAATCACAGAAAGGCCTGAGTTGGAAGGGAGCTTAAAGATCATCCTGTTCCAACCACACTTCTGTGGACATGGACACCTTCCACTAGACCAGGTTGTACAGAGCTCCATCCAGCCTGGCCTTGAACAGTTTTAGGGATGTTATGCAGATAAACTGGGCAATGGCCTCATTCCAAGTTAACTGGGGTTTTAATTGATGGGTTCTTCTGAGCCTTGTGCTTGTTACGTGGAAGGTGTACACTGATCAAACACTAGGAATGAAAAATCCCTGTCAAAATTAAACTCTTTCCATCCATTAATACCCTCAGACTCTGCAGCGCTGCCTGAACTGGCAGATTTTGGCATGCTAAATACAGTTTAAATAGATTTAGATGTTAGGCTTCTGCAATGTTCAGTAATGCAATACAAACCATCCCACAGTTAAATGAAAAAATATGGACAAAGTGGTTACAGGCTCTTATACCTGATGGCAATTCCAAGCTTGTTCGAAAAGAGCCAAAGATATAAACACTCCTTTTTTTTTTCTTGTTAACATTCAAGATTGCTGAATTAAAAACAAATAGAAGAACCCACTAACCTGCCTCTTCAGTTCTTACTTTTTCTGAGGGTAAACTAGGTTCTCCACCTCCTATTTTGTTAGTGGCAACTACACGGAATTCATATTCAACCCAAGGGTTTAAATCCACTACTGTGGTTGTGAACGTTTTCCCATCGATCACATCTGGAACTATTAAAAAAAAAAAGAAACAAAGGAAACTGAGGACTTTGGTGTCCCTGGTCAAAAACATTCCAGCAGAGCCTGCCACAAGAACTGTGTTTACCTGTTGTGGCTCTCTGCCATCCCACTGAGAAGGGTGTCCTGGCCTGGATGGTGTAGGTGGTCACTGGGCTGTGATTGTCTGTCCCTTCCTGCCAGGAGATCTGAGCTGTGGTATCAGTTATTTCATCCACTCTCACGTGTTCAGGGGGCCCAGGTGAGCCTAAAATCAGAATAAAACAACAGGCAGTGTTTTGTGAAGTCAAGAGCCCTGGAAATCACTACCAGCACTATGGATTCCCACTCTGTCAGTGCCGTGGGAGGAAGGAAACAATTGAGCTTGGAATAGGAACACTTGTAACTATTGTTTTACATTCACTAAACTTAACTCTGATCATTTCAACCTGAAATACTCTCAACTGCAGAACAGATGACAGGGGTTTTGTTTTTCACCAAGAACCTTTGTTCAGCACCATCCCTCTATCTTTCCAATGTCTTTTCCTTTAGTCCTAAATGTCCTCCTTTAATCTACTAATACATCTCTGTAGTCTGCCAATTTGTAACCTACAGCTCTTCTACCATACAACACACTGGAGCAATTTTTCAGCCCACCATCTGACCAGCAATCCAAGCAGCAATTCAGTCAGACAAGTTTTCTGCTGCCTTCTGGAAAATCCTCATTCTGGGCATCCTGGCAGAAATGCTGGGTTTTGTCTCATCTGCACCAGCAAAGGGGGTTGAAATGACTAACAGTGCACTGACAAGGAGAAAATATCTGACATATTTTAAAATATATTGAGTAAGTGCTGATCACATAATGTGCTTTCCTAGATCAAAGCTTTTCCCTGTAATGATTGTAACACCAGCAAAGAAAGCTACAGTTCTGGCTCAACTGTGAACATTCCAGCTCTGAATGAAAAGGAATAAGCCTCCATTATAGGCTTTAAACTCCAGCATGTCCCTGGGACAAAGCCTCTTCTGGGCTCTGGCAGCAGTTGCCCATTTCACAGGAAGGATTCTGGAGTCCCCAGTGCTTCAGTTTGCAGAGGCAGCAACTCACAACTGGCTCACAGCTGCCAGTGAGTTCCCCCTTGTCCCTGGCTTGAAGGACTGTCAGTGAGAGAAGATGTGAAGTCAATATTATAACCTCCAGCTCTTAATTTCTCAGGGAAAAATTAGGCTTCATCCCAAAATTGAGCTGTAATTCTCCCTAACTGCAAGGCAGAATGACATAATTGAAGTCACAGCCATTCATCACCTAATTCAAGTCATGGACTGGGTTTGTAATCTGCAAGACCACTTGTTTCTGTAATCTACCATATTAAAAAAAAAAAAAAGGAAGAAAATATGATAAATAGCAGCTGAAGCTGGAACATACCTCGGACAATCAGGTCGGCTGCAGATGCCACACTGTCCACCTCTGTCTTCACCATACAAACATACTTCCCACTGTGCTTCAGCTGGATGTTCCTAATCATTAAATCCCCAGATGCACTCTGTGGAAGCACAAAGTTCCTGCAGTTTAATATTAAGGTTGTATTTGTAAAGGGAAAGCAACCAAAAAATGTAAAATTGCTGTAACGTCCAGGACAGCAAGTTATTGCTCCACTCTGAGGTCCCTCTTTTTGAGAGAATTAAGCTACACCATGGTGAGGCTGGACTGGGAACACACGTCCTGCTCTCAGGAACCATCAACAACACCAGAGCCCTGTGACCAACCCTTTGTCTCAAAGCCCTAAGAAAGAGAAAAACATGGTTTCCATGGCCATTGATCAATCTGACTTCAGGACAGGCTTTATGGAATTTATATCTAGAATTTATAAGCCAAGTTATGACAGATCTTTAAGGAATGTGTAAATGACAAAGCTGAATTTGGGCCATCCTACAGGTTATTGTGAGCACACTTTCATTTAAAGCCTGGGCTAAATTTCCCATTTTAAAAGCCTAAGGTCTGTTCTTTGTTCTTCACTGAATATTTAATCTTTAGAGTTTTTTCCCTCCATTGTTCTCTCTCTTATCATAGCATGTGGTTGATCTCCTGAGTCACAGGAAACAGACATAAAACTTGAGTGGTAACTGTAACTTCAAATCATCTCAGGGTTCCTGGTATAATATTTGTTTTCTACACCACTGAGCAGAGACCTTGATACTAAACCACTGGCAGTGTCCCTTAAAAAAATCTCTTTGTGTCAGCTGAATTACTGCTTTAACCTCATTCACATTGTATTTTCCACATGAAAAACCTCTTAGTCAGATTTTTATTTCTGAAAGTTTTAGATTTAAATTTTCCGGAGAAGCAGCACTTTGTCTGAGGACAGAACCCTACTTTGTGTGTATTTGCAGCTACTCTGGCCACATGACTGATTCCTGGGCACAAAGCACTTTGGGAGAAAGGGAAAGAGATGATTTTTAAGTTTATTTTAGCCTTAGAAAAAAAAAAAATTACCCTTTCCAAATGTTTGGTTATTTTTCTTTGTTTCAGCATTACAATGCCTCAATTCTTTACTCAACACAAGCTGAAACCACTTGCCTGATTCCCTTCCATGTGTGTGCCTGGTCTTCTGTGAAAGCACAGATGGAAGTTGTTTGCAGGACAATTCAGTGCTGATTGCTTACAATAAATTAAAAGTTGGGTTAAAAGCAATCTAAAATCCATCTACTTGATTGGAAGTGGATATTCAGGGAATGCCCAACATCAGCAAATCACGTTCTGCACAAACTTATTTTAGCAAACTCAGTTTAAGGCATCTCAACAAAGTGGGCTGTCAAATAGAACAGTTTTGCTTGAAATGAAACCCACCAAAATATTAACACTGCATTTAAAATATTTGTGGATATTTTTGGGGAAGAATCTTAAGGTACCAGAGGGAACACAGAAACTTGCAGCAGGAAAAAACTCCCCCCGCTTCCATCAGGGTATCTGAATTCCTCCCTACTCAGATTAAACATTTGTCAGTGTGGACAAGCCCAGGGCACCTTCCTGTCTCCACAATACATGGAATATTAGAAATAAAGAGTATTCCATGCAGTAGGAACAGCTGCTGGAATTCCCTTTGCTTCTCCCAGCTGCAGAACAGCCCCAGCCATTGCTGGGTGATACCCAGTTCAGAGGCAAGTCTGCTCAAAATTTGGGCATCTGCTTGGTCTGCTGCCATGCTCTTTGTATAAATCACCTAACAAAAAGAAACAACAAACAACCACAAAACAAAACAAACAACAAACCAGCAGTCAGCCAGCCTTACATCCCATAGTTTTCTAACCATCTGGAAGACCAGGTGGTGATCCCGTAACATCCCACTAACCACAACGTTGGAGACCTCAGGCAGGTGTGACAGGGACCTCCCAGACATCATTACACAGAAATTTATCCATTAAAAATTTTTTTTCCAACCAAGAAAGCTGAAGTTATTTTTTGCAATGGTATTTTCATTTAGCAGATACACAATGCAACCATTGGAAGGTTTGGACATATTTAGGCTTATTTTTTTACCATGGCCTGCATGGAACTCCAGATGAAATTATTCCACTGACCTTAACGTGACACAAAGCCCATAAAATACTCCTGTGGATCTCCTGGTAGTCTATGAAGTTTTCTACTGAAGAGCTTAAATCCCTCTTTACACAAACAAAAACTTTAAAAAATCCCACCCTAAATGTCTCTATTCCATAGAAAGCACTATGTCCTTTGTGACAAATTTACAAGTATAATGTTCTAGATTCAGAATTCTGAGTTGGGCAACACTCACCCTGGATTTTTCTTCAGCACTGACAGAGCATGTTTTGTGAAAAAACCCTATTTTTTAACGCTTTATTTCTTCAGAGATATTAAAAAAAGACATCTGAGCAAGGCTTTGATTTGGAATTACGCCCGTGTAAGAGAAGGAACTTCCTATTTTTCTATTTTGAAAAAAGACTATAACTAAGTCAGTCTGTGCTGGATACACCTGCAAGGCAAACGAAGAGAAGGAGTTCTCAGCTTACCCCTCCAACCTTCTCGAAGTGGGAAGCATCTCTCTTGAAGTCAGTGAGGGTTCCATTGAAGTACCAGGTGAAGGTGATGTCCAGGATGGGGTCGTGCTGAACCTGGCACGGCAGCACCACGCTCTCCCCAACAGTGACATCCATGTTGGAAGGTGCCAGGGTGATCCTGGTTGGCTCTGTGGAGAGCAGGAATATTGGTTACTGGATTGCTGAGCTTTGCTTGCTCCTGATATTCCCCCCGATTCCCAGCAGCCACGGGGAAGATGGAGAGGTGGGAGCAATAAAAGAGCTGATAAAGTCCAGAAACCAGAGGAAATCCAGACAAGGGAGAATGCATGGGGTATTTAGGTCCATGTATAATATAAAACATAAATAGTGTAATTAAGAACAGCTGCTTGCTATTCCAGAATCACATTACTGGAGAAAAATTTCAACTGCTGTAAATACCGTAAAAATAAAATTTAATTCTAGGAATTTTGTATATAATCCTATTACTTCTATATAAAGGGACATGAATCACTTAGAATTATCTGATACCCCAGTGCATTACATATCCTGTGTGTCTCTTAGGTCCAAACAGAATTATTTTGTTCAGTGAATTAATAGCTTCACGTTTCCAGTCCGTGCTCCTGAGTTTGGAAAATCTTTCAGATATTCAAATCTTTGAAAAAGAATGTTATGAGAAAACACAATCTTGAGATAAACTTCACAAACCACTGGTTCTTTTAATCCATTATCTCAGCCAGTAATGGATGACTTGGAGGAAGGGGCAAGACCTCTTTTAACAACTCTGTGTACAATTTGCTTTTGACTTTATATTTTACTTGCTTGTGGAATCCCTGAATGCTGGTGGTAGAAGCTGGAGTTTCTACCACATCTTTTTCCATAAGCAAACAGCACACGGACTTCCTCTGAGTTAAACAGATTTTCAACTGGAATATAAAATTACCTCAAACATTTTTTGATTAACTTTTTTTTTCCCATAACAGATTTAAAAAAGCCCACGAACTTAAAAGCATAATTGCACTGTTTAGTATTTAGACAAGTGAGAGAAGGGAGGAAAGTGTTCAGAACTCCCTCACACCTGAGAATATCTTTGTCAAAAGACAGAAAATCCCTCAGTCTCTTTCCTCTCAATAAAAGAGCTGTAACAAGTATCCTCTTATCTTTATAGATTGTGAAATGTAAAACTTCTCATACTCTTCACATTCTACAACAGTCAGTAATTTTTCAGTAAGCAAACTCCTGTCACAGACTTTGCAATTCCATCCCTTCCATCCCAGTTCACCTACCAGTAACTATTAAGTTTGTTGAGCCACTGGCTGTTCCAAACTGGTTTGCTGCCAGGCACGTGTAGGTTCCAGTGTCCACTTTGGTCACATTGGCTATTCTTAGTCCTCCATCCTTTAACAGCATGATTCTAAAAAAGTTGTGAAGAAATTTTAACATTTTAAATACTCTACTGTTACCTCAGATGTATTAAATTGCATCAGGAGAAAATGAACTCTACTCCAGCTGGTACAATAATGGAATGAACAGCTGCAAATTACAGGAGATAACAAGTCACCCTGTTAGAATGACAGACAAAAGCATCTTACTGAGGTGAGAAAGGGACCTATAAATAGTTTAATCTTCTTACATTAGGAAATAACCAACTTTGAATCCTCCAAAGCATCCTGAGGTACCTCAGCCAGTGTGGTGGCATTTGAAGCACACTCCCTAAGGAGCATGGGCTCCATCCACTGACCTCCCTGAGGCTTATTAATCGTTCTGCAAAATTCCCAAGTTGTACTTGGCTGCACTTTATGTTAGATGGAACATTTAAAATTAATTAAATTGGACCATATGGTTTACAGGTGTTTTAAATGTGTCAAAGACATGAGTAATGCATGTTATAGGTAATTAGAATTACATCAAAAAAAGGTGTTAAAATATATCAATTATGGTTGCAAACAAGCCACTGAGTTGCATTTTCCAGCTAAGTCTTGTGGTGCTTCATCTACTTTGAAGCAGCTTCCAGCAGAAAAAATACAACTAAATAAAACCCAAGTGTTGACAAAGCCTAAGATCAAACAATGGAAAAAGCAGGATCAGGGAATAAATCTGAGAATGTCTATTGTTTAATTAAAACAAATCACTTTTAGAGGGCTCTGAGCTATTTGCAAGTCTAGCTTGCCTAAAATAATTAGGCAGTAGGCTTATTAAAACCCAGATATAATTAAGAATCAAGTTTTTTCCCAGAGTTTAAAAAAAAAAAACAAAACAAAAAGGCAAACAATACACCAAAAAAATCAATTCAAGAAAAATATTACAGTCAAAATAAAATCTTTAACTGGCAATTTAGAAAAGAGAAACTTTTTACTTTTCCAATTACAAACCAGTAAATGCAGTCTAGAGCCTGCAGAAATCCTACACCCAAAAATAGCTCTACCCCTCCTGCTGAAACATTAGACAAACTGAAGCTTTTAGTTTACTGAAAATTGTTAAGATATTCACACACTAAAACCACTGGACAATGGCTGGCCCATGGTCAGGAAGAGACCTGGACCTCTGACACGAAACCAGAACACATCCTTGGGCATTCCCGGTATCTGCAAGTGTTTTTCCAATACATTTTGCTCAAGGCCAGCAGTTCTCAAAGTGAATTCCACCTCAACAACCTGCACACTTTTGATGCCCTGGCAAAAAGCACGAACCTTTATCCCTGTAGAGCAGAGAGAAGGGGTGGAGTGAATGCTCTGGATTCGGGATCTGTTTGGCCATCGGATCAAAACATCACTGACAAAATCATCACCTCCTGAGCAGAATTGGGGGAAACTGATCTTGGCAAAGGTTCTTTTTTTCCCAATAGTCAAAGGATGGCATAAAAACCCATCAGCTAAACAAACCTGAACTCCTACCCACGGTCTGTGACTGAGGTCAACAGAATGGGGACAAGGATCAACCACTTCAGCACTTGGGGTTCCTGACCTGAGAGCCTCATGTTGGTGAAATTATTGCCCCTGAAACTCCTTGTCATTAGTGAAACTGTTAATGAATGCAAATTAGTTCATCTTCCCAAGACAATGCTTTGTTACTAAAATAACAGACATAATCAAGCTAAGGCCTCGCTGCCTTTCTCATTTGTCAGATTATTCAGGAAAAAAGCCAACTATTTTAGATCCTCACTGATATGATAATAAACATGAACATACTCCTTTCCAGTTCATAACACTTCAGTACAAGGGAACAGTGGAAAAGTGGGTCAAAACTGTCTTTTATGTATCAATCAAATTCCAACTAAATTAAACCAGATTAATTAACAGGAAAGTCAGCAGAAAAAAATTCTATTTAAGTACTAGTAAGTAAATGCATTACTTTCCAGATCACAACATTTCAAACTGTAACATAAAATGAAATAAAAATACTCAATTCAAATGGGACAATGGGGCACCCTCAGTGTCTGATCTGGCAGCCATGAAGAGAAGTCTTGCTAATTCTAAATTCTTATACTCATTATGTCACCCAAAATTATTTATTTCAAGGGGCCAATTCTGGTGGGAGCCATTTCTTCCTTCAGCACCTGATTTTCGCCTCTCCTTCTGCCTGTTACCCTATGCTTTCACTTCTCTTTGCATTCCACTGCTCTTTACTGTTTAGCTCTCTTTATTCAAAATATTCTAAAAAAAAAAAAATCACATACTTTGCAAAATTAACAAGAAACAAGATTGCATTTTTCAACGCTGAGCGACTTCTCAGCCCAGAGCTCATGAATCCATTTTGAATTATATTTTCTTCCCTCCACAAGACATATCATATTCAGCTCATTTAATTAAAATTTACTGAGTCATTATCTGAATCTTTTACACACTGAAAAAGCAGCACCATTTAAAAATAAATTAACAATACAAGCAACAGTGCCATCAAAATGAAACTCTCTCAGGCTTTACTAAAGTAATGTGGTCAAAACCTCCAGCAAAACCTAAGTTCTCTGATGACAGCATACACTGAAGAAATGGAGTATTTGTGCTTTATTTTTATCATTTAAACAGGAGTTTTATTAAAACATATTCTATCCCTGCTGCATCAGTGAAATCATTTCACTGCCCCCATTCTCTGGCAGCACTGAGTAACTTCATACACCACCAGCAGATTTACCAAAACCAACAAGGGCATGGTTTTAACTGCTTGAGGGCAAATGACTTTGGGAAACTATTTATATATTTATCCATGTGGGATACAGTCCCAGAGCTGTGCCCTTGCAGGAACTGATTTATGGAGACTCTCTGAAGAGTCCACTTGCTCTTCACAAGCAAATGGTAATAGTTGACATCACAGTTGACCACATTTGATAAGGGATGGGAGTCAGTCTCTGTCTCACAATTGATTTCTGTGTCTCCTAAGGAGGGCTCTGTGAGCTTGAACCCTTCTGCAGGGCTGAGCTCCAAATGCAATTAAACTCCTTCTGCCTCTCCACCTCTCCCAGGGGCAGTGCCTGCCGGACCTCCATGACCAGCATTCCCCTTCTAGAAACTCATTCCTCCTGTTTTCTGCAAGTAAATGAAAAGAAACCCTCCCCAGCAGACTTCTCCACTGGAAACGTAGTTAATGGCTGAAAAATGTACTGCTAATTGGAAACCCTTTCCTGAATTGCAAGAATTGTAGAACTGCAAGAAATCCATGAATTGCAATTATTCACAGCAGACAGCAATGAACTCCAGTGCTTTCTGCAAAGAATCACACTTCTGCTTTTCTCTGAAGGAAAGCAGACTTCATTTAGATTGATTTAGGATTACTGGCTTGTTATTGTGCTTCTCTGGAAGCCATTTACGGTGTGTTGTCAAAAACATAGTGGGAGACACTCTGGGTCACGTTTTGGAATTACCTGCACTTTTCAGAACTAAAAGCTGTAATTTATGTTCACAAATCTAAGCGGGCAGCGTTGTGTATGTTCAGCTCATTTTCAGAAACTGAGCATTACTGTCTCTAGCCTGGTACCATCACCCCAAATGAAACTGGTGGGCAACCCAAAGCAAGCACTAAGATCAGATCTGATGCCCAGCCAGCCAGAAAGCTCAAAGAGAGCCACAATGTGGCTGAAACTCTCGTCTCCTGGAGATGTGTGGAGTCCTGCAAGGCCCAGCAGTGCCTGGAAGCTTTGACTTGACTTGAACCTGCCCAGGCTGATGATGGGCAGCTCCAAAAGGGACAGGCAGGATTGGGAGGGATACCATTCCACCTGCCTGCCTTACTATAGAAGTGGTATGGGGAAAAAACCTAAGAATTCTCCTGAGAAAATCATAAAAATAAGCCCCATTGAGAATCATCAAAAAGTGACAGGTTTCACATAAATTTTAGAGATCACTGTAGCTCTGTGTTATTGATTCCTTTATTCATATGATATTATTTAATTAAAGGGTGATGGGAGGTTTCACATAGAAAGGAAAACCAACCAGTGCTATTTGGAGTGAGGTTTTGCTTGCTCTCTGGCAGGCCTGCAGCCACTGAGTGAGGCTGTGGTACCGTGTCATACTCTGCAGCAACAGATGCCCCATCCTCTGCCAAACTGCCCCATCTGACAACACTTAACACCAGAACACATGAAAGCTACAGTGGGCCCTGTGAACAGAGAGCCAGGGCTGCACAGGTCAAGATGACAGTGCCCAAAACTTCTGGGTACAAGGAGAGAGCTCCAGGTTTATGATGGAGCAAATAAAGGTCCCCAACGCAGCCTCTGTAAGTTCTGATTTATCTGGTAGCAACTTCTGTGTTTAGAAATTGCAAAACCAAACCACAACGTGGTGTTTTCCAGGAAAAAGACTGGGAGAATTTTGCCTAATTTGGAAGTAGCTTCCTGATGACAGGCTAAGCTTTGTACAACCCAAAACGAAATCCTAGAGGAGCAGGGACACATTCCTTAAGCCACAACACACTGCCATGTTAATCCACCTTCAAAAACAAAGTGTTCTGTTTCCTCAGTCTCATGCCTGGCCTTCTGGACACTCCCTGCCCGTGAATTATCCTGCCAAGGACAGGGTGACACCAGAGTGTTCCAAGAGGAGCACTCACAGTCATCCTGTCCCCACTGCTCCCAGGCAAACAGACTGACCACGGCTGTTGCTGTGACTACAGTGTGTACTTAACTCAGATACTCCAGCAACCACCTGCAAAAAGGCCGACCTGGGGCAGGCTGAGCTCTCAAACAGTTACTCTGCTCCTCTGGGTGTTCACAGCCTGTTCCATGCGCTGAAGTGCAGCTGGAACGTCCAAAGTAACAACCTGCCTGGTTTATGCTAAATCAGATGTGGAACCATCTTAATCACACCTTCCATCCAAGGAGCTTTCTTTGCTGTCCCAGTTCACTACTGAAACTCTGAGTCTGTGCAAATACTGAAATGTAAAACACAAAGCCTGAAAAGCCAAGTAATCCCCAACGTGAGAGAGATGCAAAGCAAACGGCTGCTCCAGAGCAGAGAGGAACAGTTCTGTGTTGTCTTATTATACAATTTAATCAGCAGACTTTGTGCAATTTCAGTTCATGACTAATTCAATAATGTTTTAATGGTTATTGCTGGGGAAAAAAACACGTTTACGTGTTTCTGGAAATCGATAGCTGGGGATATGGGTGAATCACAACCTCTCCACTGGGAATCACTAACCCCCAAACACATTCACTATCATGTAAATAATGGTGACAGATGTTATCACTGGTAAGACCACGGTTGCTTAAAAAGAACCTCAAAGTGCATTTTCATTTTCTTTTCCTGTTTTCATCTGCTATTCTCGACCTCCCAGTCATTAACTTCTCTTTCTTTTCTCAGCCATATTATCACCAGGGCTGTGACACACCTCATTTGCCTCCTTCCCAACATTTTCAGAGCTTTTTATTGAAGGCTTTTAGTACTGTTCTATAGGCTTTGCCTTTCTAGTTTTCTATCAGCATCTGATTCTCTCTAAATCCAGCCAAACTCTGCATTAAACTGAAAATAGTGTCTGCCCCTTGACCTTAGAGAAAGCACTACACTTGCACTCTCAGTGCTCTGATACAATGACAATTAAAAACCAACTGAACAACTTTACAATGTTTGGATCTACAGACGACACAACAGCATAAAAAGACATGAAAAAGCTTCTTGTAAGATTAAAACAAATAAACCAATGTAACTTGATACCTTTCACTTTCGTGTAGCTGCTCACCTCCCTTCTTCCAGGAACATTTGGCCTTAGGGGAAGCTTTGGGTTTGCATTCAAAGTCAACTGTGCTGCCTATTTGAACCTGGATCAGTTTCTTCATCGGATTCTTGGAAAAATCTGGAGCAGAAGCTAAAACAGAAGAGATAGCAACAGTGAAATAAAGCACTTGTAATTACATTAACGATACTACTATTTAGCACTCACACAACACTTCTCAGATTCCAAACACAATTAAAACCATCAATTAGTTCAAGGGGGTCAGTCCTGTTGGACCATGAGGCATCTCCCCTCCTCACCCAGGCACACAAGCTGTGCAGGTCCCTGGCCCAGCGAGGCGTTCAGAGCAGATCACACCGAGCCCAGCCCAGCTGGAGCCTCGGCACATGCCTGACTGCACACCCTGCTCAGGGGGAGACCTGAGCTCAGGGGTCTCATTAAACCCCACAGAACTGGAGGGTTTCCAGTGGAGAACGCAACGTCAGATGACACGAAATGGCAGCACAGCTCGTTCTGAGGGCACACAGTTTTCCTTTCCTAAAAAGGCACCTACGCTGACAAAAGGAAATTCAGTATTTTAGGAGACCAAGGCTGAAGGAGCACCTGCTGATGGGCTGTAACCTTAACAACAGAAAGGCAATAACCTGTGTCCCCAAAACACACCGTTCTGGTAAGCCTGGTTTTGAAACCAGCCCAGGGTGCAGATCACACAAGATCACAGGTTCTGTGTTCCCCTCAAACAAACACTTGTCACTGTTTTAGACCCAAGCACGTGCTGATTGACTGAATGACGGTTTCTTGCCCCCTGGATCAAGGAGGGCTGCACACAATGGCTTTTAAATGCCTGGGAGGCTCGGAGCAGGAGGGGAGTGCTGCTGACTGACTGCAGGGACTCCACACCTCGTGATGAGGGGTTTTAATCTCCAGGCCCGTGTCCAAACCCCCAGCTCTGCTCTCCCCCAAATGAGTAATTTAGAATGTTCTGTTTTAAAAGCAGTGAATGATTGGCCTGCAGATCCTCTGGAAGCAGATGAGTCAACTCCTCAGCACTGCAGATAAAGACATCAGGTTGACAAAAATGTTTATTTCGGTGATAGCATCTGAGCGAGTTAAATTTGAGACCATGAGGAGGTGGACCACAAGGCAGGTGGAGGGGGTGTGGAGAGGGAAAATGAGGTTTGTGTTCTAGTGAGAAGGGAAAATCTTACCTACAACCCTGAGCTCTGCACTTGAGTAGATGACACCGTGTTTATTTTCAGCTATGCACTGGTATCTGCCAGAATCTGTCAGATTTAGATTTGATATTGTAAGTGCACCATTTTCAATTTGGATCCTTCCCTGAATATTAAGAAAAATACCTTTATTGATGATATATTTCCTGTGAAAAATTTAAAATAAGTAAGGAATATAAATAGGACAGCATAAATACAATGCATGGGGTAAATGCAACACCATAATCATGAGAACAGATATAAAAGAAGTGACACAACTGCATCATGGTCTGGCAACAGTCTTCAAGTAAGGAGGCTTGGCAAGACAGTGTATGAAAATGATCCTTACTTGCTCAGTTTCACAGAGGCTTTGCAATCTCAAATAACCTTGTATTTCCCTGGAAATATGGACAAAATCCTACCAGCCTCCTCAGGACAGACCAGAGTATCCAAACTATGCAGATGGCACTGGCATTTTGTACTATTTAGAGATTTCACACATGCCATTTGCTAATGAGCTTCCCATAATACTGTGCAGAACAAATTCCAACAGTCATCAAACAGAAGACCTGGACTTAAGTGCCTTAAACCAGCAAAGCCACTGAATTATCTGGATCTTCCCACCTTGCTTATTCTTGGATAACTGCATCAATTACAGTAAGAAGTGACTAATTTGAGGAGGGAGTGGTGGAACTGGTGAGAAAAGGAACCAGTGACAACGAAAAAACTAAAGCAGCACAACCTTTGGGAAAAAAAAAAACAGACCAGAACCCAAAATACATGCCCAGCCCAAAAGTATTTTCTAATGGTTTTCTTTTTTTTTTTTTTGAGGGGGAGGGGAGGGGAGAAACAGGGAGCCTGAGAGATTCTAAGATGTTTTTGTACTTACTGAGGTAAAAAACCACCTCAGTGACTCTGTGTGAGATTCTGTGGTCCCTCATTTAACCTGTCCCCAAAACACCACCACTCCTTTCAGTGACCATGTAACTCCCTGAATGGTCAGAGATGTTTTTCACAGCCATCCACTGGATTCACCTGAGCAGTCACTCTTTCCTTTTCTTCAACTCTTTAGTGCCAGTGTTGAGCACAAGGCACTGGCCAAGGGCAAAATGCCTCCCTGCAATGGGCTGGTGCCTGTAGTTTATATTCCTGATAACCTGAACTGGGCAGTTTTCCAACAAAGCAGTGAGATTTAAAATCAATATTTTACAATCAATCTGCATTTCTGACCTGGAGACCAAGTATCTCCCCTTCTAAGTTCAACTTCTTTTCCCTGTCACCAAATGCATTACTATCCATTACTTTAACAACTGTATTAAAACAAATACCTATGTTATTTTGCTATTTATATTTCATTCTTTGCAGCAAGTAATGGGAACCCAACGAATCTTTAGGATTTTTGTCTTTTTTTTTTTTGTCAAGAAGTTTGAATATGTTTTCTTACCTTCAACGAAATGACAACTGCAATTGCAGTAAAATAATTTAAATTCTCTATCCCTCATTTATGGTTCTTTATGTACAACTTTATTAAGCTCCCTTCTCCAGTCATTCCTTACAGACTTCTTTCTATGCTTCTATTGTTGCTTTTGAACCTGCTTTTAGCTGGGATGTTTTTGTACAACGTAATTTGTCTTTGTGTTTCTGGTATTGCAGCTTTTGAAGTTTCCACTTGGATGCTCTCCACAAACATATGAAAGCCACTGTCAAATATTCCTCTTGACTAATTGCCCAGCCTTCTGAAAATTCTCATATTTGTATGAATAATGTTAATTTTACCCAGCATCACGTTTTCAGAAGAGAATGTTACCTCTACTGACAGTTGGTCTCCATTCTTCAGCCACCTATATGATGGTTTGGGCTTCCCACTTGCTCTGCAATCCCAGTGTAGGGTGTCCTCTACAGCAACTTCAACATCCTTTATGGTCTGGATCCAGTGAGGCTTTGCTGCAGATGAAAAACACAACAGAGACCCAAACAAGTTATTGTTCCATACCCGAATCTAAGGGTTAATTTACAGGGAACTCATCAGATTTCTGCACAGACTGGTCTGTACCAACAGAGGTTCTTACTAGTCCTGCTTCAAGTCCCCTAATGAAACAAGTAACTTGCTCTTCCTTTTATGCATTTTTTTTTACTACAGCAGTAAACCAAAGAAAATTGAGAGTAAAAATCACTAAAGGTGGACCAGTGAAACCAGTATTAAAATCACCAATGATTAAACAACACAACTTTGAGGTACTCATTAGAAAAGGACATTAATGGTGAGACTGAAATTAAATAAGTGATGTGGCTAAATCATCAAATTAATGCAGAAGAGAATCCTTTAAGTCCTAAAAAAAAAAATAATGGTATGTCAGCCTTAGTGCTAAATACCATTTAAATTGTTTTCTAATGTGAGGCAGCACTTAACAGGATGAATGCATGGATATATGAGATTGGTTTTGAAAGCATTAGTCTTGGCACAGCATTTGGGTGATGCAAACCAGTAAAAGGAAGTCCATAAAAATCACTATTTTTTGAACAAAACTTTGATGTATTAACATACACCCTTCAGAATTACCCAAAATACAGTTGAAACTGTAAAGATATTTAAAACATCTGTTACAGCTTTCATAGGGGGGTGGTGGGAGAAAGCTCACTTGGTAAATAAACATCAGTGCGTGGAAAACAACATTAGTTTATTCTCTTATTCCTTTAGTGCTATTTCACACAACACTGTTTTACAGGTAATTTGTGAATTTTCTTTGAATTTATTCAATTTACTCGAAAGTTTATAATCTCCATATATGCTATTTCTCCAGGAAAAGATAAATTCTGGACATTGCATATGGAGAAAAGAGATAAAAGAGTAGGATGGAACTTGGCTGCAAATATATAGCTACAGGCAAAGAATTTTCCAGAGACAATTTGATTATCTTAAGTTAGTCATTTAGGAAAATCTCATAACACACTCGTATCAAAACAACTAGGAGGGAAAAAAGTCCCTGGTGATGCAGGAAAATATTATTTAATACACGAGTTCTGGAAGCACAGAAGGTCAGATTAATTCCCACTGAACTTCCCACTACAATGGAGTTATACCAGCAATTAACTCAGGCCAGGGAAATTAATGACTTGCCTGTGGCCACGAGGGAAGCCTCAGCACAGCTGAGAGCTGATCCTGTGCCACTGCCACAGGCACAGCACCAGCCAGCCCAGGTTTGGATGAGGGCCGGTATTAATTTCATTTAAAAAGATTCACAGTAAATAAAAAGATTCATTGTAATTCATGCAGATTTCCCCTCCACCAAGGGTTCTGCAATGCAGCAGCACCACCTCAACATGCCCACGTACAGTCCCATACTTCTATGGCAGCAAGGTTTAATACTATTTATGATTTCTGTATCCATACTTAGGATTAACTTCTTACAGAAGAATTTACTGAAATATATTCACTGAGATATTAACTACTAATAAATATTGGAATTCAACCAATATTTGCTGTGAAACCCTCAACTACTACTTTTTTTTGGTGCATCCCTGTGAGGATTAACACCCTTCACTGATTTGGGGCTGATACACTTTTTGCACATTCTTTATCAAGGTCAGCTCTAAAAGACAGGATAAGCTGATCTTTGTGTCCCACAAATGTACTTTTTACTGGTATTAACTGTGGTTAAATCTTGAAAGTTCACGTTGCAACACTGGAGTACAAGAAACAGCTTTATATCACATTGTCATTTGGACCGTTTGCCCCACATGTGCCATGGGAATCAAAGCTCAGGACTCCATGCCTTGTGCTTCCTGCCACTTTGCACATCTAAATATTTATGCAACATTCAGCAGCGCCTGAACTACTGATGGATCCATACACGTGGCATATTTCACATCCACTGCCTATCTCCCACTTGGAAGTAGGTTAAATATAGTCTATTTTCAAGTTCAAGATCTTGGATTCAATCCCATTAATAAGAAAAACACTGTCTACACCATAAATCCTATTTTGGGACTCTGTGTCAGACAGTCTCCACAGGAGGGTTTCCCAAGTTTCCATACAATAGGTTAAAGCAGAAATGCACAGAACAGATTCCTAAGGCACAACAATGTGAGAAAATTCACGGTGCTTGTTCGGTCACAAGAGTGTTGATGGGGACTTTGGTAATTTCCTTCAGAAAGGCTCTTTTTCTCTTCAAATCACTGACGGAGGAATTCAGCAGAAAGAAAAATACCCTTTTCAACCTGCCACATCTCAAAACCTTTGAAAAAGAACAATTCAACCAAACAGCTCAAAATTGAGAAGGCAGCTAAATAGAAGCAATTCCAGCTGGGAATACTCTGATTTGTGGCCAAGGAAAAGGTGGTTCACGCTGCAGCAGCTGAGGCATGTGCAGACAGGTCATGTATCAGTAGCTCTAAATACCCTCCCAAAACAGAGGCAGGACTTGCCAAGGCCAGCACTGCCCTTTTTGTTGAGCTCTGCCTGATGGTACCTAAATGACTGTGAATAAACTGCTTTGTTCCTCTCAAGATCTTGTCACTGTTAGGCAAACGCTGCTGCTCAGAACATCTGGTTCCACAACTGCCACATCCATGCTCCTGAAGGAACACTGATGACTTGGGAACAGCCTCATTCTCTCTGCATGGCTTGGTGTCTTACTTGGATCTTCCTGAGGAGACAGGAAGGTATCACTTCTCCCTCCTTAAGCAACAAGAAGGCAACACATCTTCACTGAGATGAAAAAAAAAAAAAAGATGATGACCTGTAAACTGAGAGGTTGGAAGTTAATTTTAATGGAGTTTGTAGTTCAGGGTTTGAGACTGTGACAGGAATCCGTATTCTGTGGTAATATTAACAATTCTTCAGAACCTGCTGTGCAATCTTCATGAAAGATTCACGTGAAGTTCCCTCAGGATGAAATGCTTGTAGGAAAGTGATTCTCTAAAGCCGTCAGCTCCATGGCCAGTCACTTGGAAAAGCACCGGCCTTGTACTTTGCTTCAGCTGTTTCAGCCTAAAATATTCCTTGCAATACTCATGGCCCCAGAGGCGAGAGGTGAACAAGTGTGTAAGTTCATAAAATTTATCCCAGAGAGGAGGCTCTGCCATCTTTTTTTTTTTTGGAGGTTACAATGACCCTCTTCTTCCAGCTAGTTAGGCCAGGCACGTCTTCCTGAAGAAAACCACTGTTGCATCCCTGTAGGCCATAAGGAAAGGAAGAACCATCTTTTCAGATGTTTCAGAACCCCTTTGTGATGTTCTGGGGCTTGATGTGAATGAAGGCCAACTGCCCTGAGTTACTGTGAGGAAGAACCTGGAAGCAGTGGCTGGAGAAGTAGACACTTTGCAGAAGCTCTGCTGGGATTTGTAAATTGTTTGTGGATTAAGACGCATGAAACCATGTAATTTTAGATATGATTTCATTCAGAGTAGGAGTGTTCAATAAAAACCTTCTTTTCATTCTGGCAGCCACAGGAATAGCACAAAGGAAAGGCAGAGCTTCAGGCCCATGGTTTGTGCCTGGCCTCTCCCAGAGGACGATGGGAAGCTCTTCCAGAACACTCCCCACCTGGGGCTCACACGAGATGCTTATCCACATATCCCTCCTCTGCAATTTACACTCTGGAAGCTGGAAATCTTTGAAAACACTCTGGAGTAGCTCAGCAATAAATCAGAGTCGAAAGGAACTTTCCACAGCTCAAGAGAAAGCAGCTGTGGAGCACACTGGGGAAAAAAACCCACACCCAGAAAGTGGAACCTTCACTTTTCCAGACAGTCTATCTAAAGTCAGGCTGTGACACTCAGACTGATGCCTCCAGCAGTAATGAACCTTATTTTATCTCAAAACTCCAAGTGACTTGAAGCATGAGTGACATTTTTTTTTTCCTGATAAAAACCAGAAAAGCACCCAACACATCCCTGAAAACGTTCATTTTTTGACTCCCATTCAAAAATAGAAATGCTCTCAAGCAACAGGTAATTCTTACACCATTGGGAAAAGCTGTAGGATGTAAAAAAGATGAACTATTTGTCTGTGTAGGAAGGCAACTGTATTATTAGACAGCATTAACAAGTAAACTCTGGGATGATAAAACTCAGCAACTCGATATTAGTTAGTCAAGATAAGAGTCAGACTATCAGAAAAAAGCCTTAAACAGAGATACTCTTCCACATACATGAATAACGTGGTTTCAGTAAAATTTTGCTGGGAGATTATTATAAAATTATTAACAAAATATACCAGTACTTTTTGATATAGTAAAAAAAAAAAAAGATGTAGAGTCTACAACTGCTGAGGGGGTTCATCTCTGTTATGACAGTCCAGCACTCCAGAGCACAAGGGGAACAGCAGCAGGGTTTTTTTCCTTCCTGTTAAACATTTTACCTTGGTACTGTCAACCACGACTTCTGTTACATCAGCAAGTGCTAATTAAGAATATATTTTCTTCAATTATCCTTTAAATGAACTGCTTTACGTATCTTTACCATGCTTCATGTTTAATTGCATCTTAAAACACAGAAATGTGATTCTTTCATCTCCTCTCCTTTTTCTATGCCATGAAATGTCTCCATGGATTCTTTCTTCTTCCATTATCTCTTTATGGAAAGGACTAATAACGATGACAAACGAACACAATAATAAAGAGAAAGCAAATTATTTATATATTCAGGTTTTATATTCAATCAAAGTTAGATAATCTTGTCCTATTTTTAGCACAGTCTGAAATCCCCTGAGGAGAAAACTGGCATTAAATGTTGGAACTGTAAAAAGGACAAAAAAAAAAAAAAAAAGAACACTCGGTGTTGGGTTTTTCTTGATAAAATCCTTCATGAGAAAAAAAGGAAGATTAATAGTCTGTGAGTATTGTTATGAAAGAACCCAGAATACCTGCTTTAGAGTATCTATTTTAATTATCAATATCAACTATGGGTTGAGAGTTATATTTAAAACCCACAATATATTCAAAAAACCCAGACCCATTTAATTTATTCAGGAAGACAGTTACAGATGGGCACAGAATTTCTAACCCAGACTTATAAATAAGCATTCTTGAGAAAATGACTATGGACATGATTAAAGTTGAGTCTATATTCAAGTGCTTTGTGGCTTCAAGACTATAATTCATTATTGGACAAAGAGGCAGGACAGCACAGAAAACATCAGTGTAGTGGGGGTTTAACCAAACAATTTATGCACCAGAAAATCTGATTTTCAGACTTCAAATTTTCACAGTTTCAGCTCATAAAACAAATAAGGAGAACGGGAGTGTTTCTCTTCATAACAGAGCAATGAATGTTTCAAGCTTTTGTTCAGGACTAACTTTATAATTTTATAAAGAATCTTTAAAATCTGCAAAGAAAGGAAAACCTTCTGTTTTTCAGGCACGAAATTTTTGTCTGTATTCCTCCTCCCTCCCCAAGATTTATTTTTCACATTATTTCACTACGACAGCTTGGAAAACATTAACCCAAATTCTTCTTAAACTCTTTTTTTTGGGGTGAGCTGAGAGGAGAACAAATAGTGTCACTGTTGAAATAAAAAGACATTTGTCCATTTGTAATGCTGATATTTTTCTATATATGATTAGCAGACACACCTTAAACTTCTGCAAATCACGTGTTTTAAGAGCAGTCACCATTCACTACCAACACCAGATTTGTGTCATTTTTGACAACACATTTTGGTACTTTCTATCTTTTCCTCTATGTCTTCAGTATATTGCATTCGTTTCCCCCAAATCCTCAGCTGCTTTTAGAACAACTCCCTTAAATATTGATCTTTTATTGGAAGACTGAGTGGGATGTGGTTGGATTTCTTTACCAGACAGATTTTTGAGTTTTGGTATCAGGCACAGTGGCAATCCACCAGAAGAAACTGTCTTTATTTATAGAACATCATTAATCTACAAACAGCATTAAAGTCCTTCAAATTGTCAAACAGAGTCAAAATGATCCTGAATCCAAACTTGTTGGCATTCTATCTGCAACAACAAAGCAAGTAACAAAATAAGAAAGATTACTTAAATCTATTTAATTCTGCACAATGGGCTTCATGAAGCAGAACAAATGAAATGAAACAGTTGGAGTGCCATTACTGCCATTACAGGTCTCATTATTCTTTTGAAGATAAACATCCATATTAGGGATGACTCTAACACGGGCAGACATTTGTCCTGGAGTATGAACTCCATTCCAGGGTTCAAATCCTGTTCTAGATTTGCAATGAAAACGTTCAGACTGTCACAAAACCACTTGTTTTGATTAGCAAACTGTTGCTTGTATTGATTAGCAACGTCCTTTATCTCAGCCCTGTGGCCTTTTAATGAGCAAAACAGAACTGGGGAAGCAGGTCAGGTATCTCAGGAATGCCCACTGCTGTAATTATGAGGACTAATGAAGAAATCTCCTCTATTTTATATCTAGTTTACACTGATGTATTGTAGAACTGCCCTGATTTAAAACTGGCATAGGAATGGTGACACAAACTGATGTAGAAAACACAACTTGACTGGAAGTCTCAAGTAGTAATAAGGTCACTTTGTAAAATCAAATGCACAGAGCCAAGTTTGGAATGACAGATGACACTGGCAGATGAAGCAGCTTGGATCTTTTGCTCCATGTTATCCCTAGGATTTCTAGAGAAGGTGTTTAATTACAACTAGTACATGGAAAATTCATGTTGCTCCAAGTCTCCTGTCCAACCTAACCTCGGACATTTCCAGTAATGGGGCATTAATTTGGAAGTTGGTAAGGGGAGAAATCTCTTTTCCTTCTTCTTTATGAAAATCTGTTGTGCTTTGAACTAAAATCTTCACTGACTAAAATCTCCATTGCAGCTCCCTGTGCTCCAAGTTGCAGATTAGCTCTGGGCCTTTTACACAACTGAAAAAACCATCTCTTTGCTCAAATATTCCTACACAAGGAAAACATTCCAAAGCACAGTCAGAAGCGCTGTTTAAATTGTCATTTACCTAAAGAAAATTCTATTTGCTGAGATCTGGCTTCAACAAAAATTGTCAATTACCACTTTGTTGCAAATCACTCTCTCTTTACACCACCACCAGTGTGCTTTGCTGATACTCATTTCACTCAACAGCCTCAAATGCACAAGAGACTCAGTCTTTTTTCCAGCTATTAAATCTCACAGTATTTCATTTCCTATACTGGATTATATTCTCTCACTTATTTACACATTTTAAAATAAAACTGGCTGCTTAGAAAGCACAGGATTGAGAATATCCATCAGTAATAATCTTTTCATAAAGCAAGATAAAATTTGTATTTCCTATAAATGTGAGGCCTCCGTGATCCCCCAAATAAATCCAACTGACTGAAAATTGAAGGTTTCACCACTGGACCAGTATGAAATGTCTAAAAAAAAAAGTCCTTCCATCACATTAAAATAAGTACAAGCATTCTCCACACCACTCTGGGTAACCCTTTTGAGCCTTAAGACATTCCTTAAAAATCTTATGCAAGGAACTGGTGCAGGAGTTCTCATTTTCTGTGAGTACTTAATAATGCCACGGATTTTTAAGCACAAATGCCTGATGGCACTGCAGGAGCTCTAAAGCCCAGAGAAGTTTCTATTTCATGGTTAAAGAAGAATGGGAGAGAGGGAGCACAAAAGTTTCCTACCATAGTAAGTGAGGCGTCCTCTTGCAATGTTTTTCCCCCTTGAGTTTTCAGTTATACATTCATACAGTCCTGCATCCTCCTGCTGGAAATTCGGGATTTCAATCATGCCATTGGATTTCCTCAGCTTGATTTTGCTTGGAAATGGCAGACCATCAGTTCTTCTCCAGTTAATCTGAGGCACAGGGCTAGAGAGAGAGTAAGGGGATTTTAAACAGCTTTGCTTAAACTCCTTGATTGTCATAATGAGATACTTTAAACTAAACTAAACTCAGAAGTGACTAAAGGCTTGTGTTAAAGCAGCAATCACACTGTACAGGACAGATGGTCACACACTGTGGCACCTGGTTTCATACACTGTGCTGTTCCACACGCTCGCATTTGTGGGACCAAATTTGTTCATGAATATCTCAGTGAATGTCCAGTGACTGTAAAAACATCTTTAAAATCAGCACTGGCCTCCCCTGACGATGGGTGACATCTACCAGTGACTTCCACAGAGGCAGAATCTACCCAAGTCTTCTGAAATTCTCATCCTCTAACAGCCATTTATTCTCTGATTTTGGACTTTCCCTCGCTAGGGAACCAAAGCAATAGTGTGTGATCGAGTTATCAATCTGATATGAGCACCTGACAAAGCTGTCTGCAAATAAACCACAAAGTGGTAAGTAAATACATTTACAGAACCATAAATGCATTCTCAGATCATCTGTGAAAGAGAAAAGATATCAGCTGTGTGTGAAGTATCATTCAGAGGAGGAATGAATTTTAAACTTTATCTTGGCTATAAAGGAAGAACAATATTATGAAAGCATCAAGGACATTTAACAGGAAAATTCAGACAACATTCTCACAGACTTCAACACCATTTGGTTCTGCACAGAGAAGGCAGACCTAGGTAAGAGGTCATATGCAAACCCACGCTGATCTTACTCAAGCTAATTTGAAATGAAATATAAATTCCTGTGCTGCCAACATACACATTTGAATTCTAAACAAAATTAAAAATTACTCCAAGACTCTTTACCCTCTTATTTCAAGGCAGTAACTGCGATGATCCAAATAAGATATTTGGAAAACACCACCAAAACAACTGCCAGACCCCCACATCTCCTGGGCAGGTGAACCCTAACGTGCTCCAACTTTCAGTAGGAGTGGAGCTGAAAACTTACTTTCCTAGTGCAAAGCACTCCAGCCTCACAGTTGAGCCTTTAGCTGCAGGAAGGGTCTCAGGAAACTGAACTTCTATTTTGGGTTCATACTCTCCCATCACACCTGAAAGAGACAAATGAGAAAGGTAGTTTTAAGTTTTTTAAGCCTTTTTCCCTCTCTTTGGTGCTACATCACATTAAACTCAAAATCAAGTTTGCTTCTCTCACATTCCACATGTAAAGGGATGTGGGAAATCAGGAAAATCTGTGTCAAGACTTAGGAAGAGGAGCAGGAATTGTCTGGCCAAGCAGGGCAGTGATTCTGCCCTTGCACTTGGCACTGGTGACGTTGTACCCCGAGTGCTGTGCCCAGTTCTGGGCCCCTCAATTTAGGAAGGGCATGGAGAGGCTGGAGCAGATCCAGAGAAGGGCAGCGAGGCTGGTGAAGGGCCTGGAGCACAAGTGCTGGGAGGAGCAGCTGAGGGAGCTGGGGAGGCTCAGCCTGGAGAGGAGGAGGCTCAGGGGAGACCTCATCACTCTACAAACTCCTGACAGGAGGGGGGAAATGGGGGTGGGTCGGGCTCTGCTCCCAGGAACCAGCGGCAGGACAAGAGGGCACAGGCTCAAGCTGCACCAGGGGAGGTTTAGGTTGGACATTGGGAAGAAATAAGAGAGTGCTCAGACACTGCAAGGGGCTGCCCAGGGAGGTGGTGGAGTCACCATCCCTGGAGGTGTTTAGGAACAGACTGGATGTGTCATCAGCGCCATGGGCTGGGTGATAGGGTGGGGTTGGGTCACAGGCTGGACTCCCTGATCCCAGAGGCCTTTTCCAGGCAAACCCTGGGGACACCCCGAGCGGTGGCCGGAGGGGCAGCCCTACCGTCCGTGCGCAGCACCAGGGGCGTGGGCGAGCCCAGGGCCTGGCTGTTGGTCACTGAGCTGGTCACCACACACGTGTAGTTGCCCACGTCCGACGGCTCCACCTTGGCGATGTAGAGGTGCCCCGTCTCCTGCGACACGAACCGCCGGCTGTCCTCCTGGACAAACGACGGGTACTCGTTGAAGATCCACGCAAAGGACAATTCTGGTTGGTAGGAAATGGAAGAAAAGGTGTTTGAGGACGCCTTTCACTTTTTTTTCCCCCCTTCAAAAATCAGTATTTTCTTATATCGTACTATATATATACACACACATACATTATACATACATATATATAAATTAATATATTTAATATATACTTTATTATGTAACAAACAGGACCAGAAAGTCAATGGTCAAGAAAAATAAATTTTCCAAAGTACCAAAAACTAGAAAAAACCTCCCATTTTTTTCACCAAACCTTCATCTTCCCCAGAGGAAGGTGAAAGAAATTCCAAGCGTTTTACACAAGGGTAGGGTTTTCTTTTAAATATTCTTTTTTTTTTTTTAAATCTGTTTTTTTAAAGACTTCATACATGCAAGGAAATAGGAGCAGACAGCAAAAAAACGAGAGCAAACTTTGCTAAAGTGAAAGATTATTCATTCAGTAGCTACCCAACAACTCAGCTCAATACTTAGCAGGTAGAAACAGGACAGGAGTATCCACGTGAAAGGAATGCCAAAAGAAGCCTAAATTCCCAGCAGGGCTCATCACACAGCAAACCCATATTTTCATACAAAAATCCATAACCACTCAATTAAAAAAATCTGTATATGATATGGCAAAGTAGCCCTTGCTACCATTTATTATGATAATTTGAATGGAAAATAAAAAACCTGCTCGTTTCCAAAAACAAACTAAGAGATCTGGCAAAAACTCCACTAAATTTGTTTTTTTCCTGAACACTCCGAGCTCTGTGTGTCCAATTTTAATTGGCAAAGCCCCTTCCTGTGCAAGGCCACGTGTTTGTCTCATTCATATCCTGCACTATCAAAGGAAATTAATTTTTAATGGTGTTCTAGGCAAGAAATAATTTTTCACCCACGTGCCACCCAGCTGAAAGTTTATACAAAGATTGCAGCTCCTGGAAGTGCTAATTAGGGACAATTAGAGCTTGAGTGACCTGTCTTCATGTTGAAGTATTTGTAGCATTTGTGCTGCCCCTACAAAATGAAGATCGTCCCTTTTTGCACAGGTTTAATTTGAAGGTGCATAAATTTGGGAGGAAGTCATGAAATGGAGAGGTGACGTTTTCTGAACCCTGCCAGCTGAGTATCAACTGTGCAACAGGACAATTTAACCCAAGGTAAGGTTGTGCAGATGAAAAAACACTGAATAAATGAAATGATTAAAATATTTATGGACTGGCTAATGCGGAAAAAAGGCATCAAATGAAATGGCTCATCATAATTGCATTTAATTTTCCTCTATCAATATTTAAACTTCTTCCATTAAGATAATTTTGTAGGAGTGGTGTGTACCAACAATTAACAGTCTCAGAGCTCTTCTCAGAAGTCAAACTTCTGTCACAGTTAGAAATACTTATTGTTGGGAACAGAACCACAGAACTGTTGAAGCTGGCAAAGACCTTTAAGATCATCACCCTCGTGGACTTGCAGCATCTCCTCAGGTGAAACAATGGCTTTCACTAAAATTCCTTCCTACAGAACTCCAGAGGTGTAAATAATTTAGGGAAGGGGAGGCCAACAAGAACCAACAGGAGAGTTTGTGCACTGGGAAGCAGAACCTTATGATCGAGCTGGACTTCAGTAAGACTTTTGAGATTTGCCACCAGGGTCTTGTACATAAGTCAAAGAATATTCCTACAGTCCAGAAAAAAAAATATTCTGTGTAACTCTTCTCCCTCCCACAGTCCAGCACAAATCCCACCATGTCAGGGGTTTGCTGATGAACTGAGAGGGCTTGCTGAGTGATCTCTGGGTAGCAGGGAGGTGGGAGCTGGATGGGTCTGGCTGTGGTTTGGTTCTGCTCCCTCTATCAGGCACTTTCCAAGAGAAAAAAATAGAATTAAAACTGACTTTTAAAAAGGAAAAAAAACAAAAAAAGAGTACACTGGTATGGTCTTTCTAAATGGAAAAGACTAGAAAATAAAGTACAGTTCTGTTTCTACAGAAGAACTGGATGGAGAGAGTGATCACAAGGCTGAGGGAGAGGCTGCACAGCAAATTAGGTACCAATTCAGGAACTGTAAGGAAAAAAAATATATTTTCAGCTCTGCATCAAACTCAGACATCCATAAGGCACAGCAGTGGGTGATGCCAGGCTTTATTGGCTCTGGTATTTATTGAGCTACTTGTGTTTCCCTGCTCAAAGTATTATTTTATGCTGGGGAAAATAAAAAAAAAAGAGAGAAAAAGAAAAAAGATGTCGTTCAAAACAGTCAAAGGGGATGGACAGCTCTGGATAGGCAGCAGGAAAATAAGCAGCTTCATTTCATTCCTATTATATTGGGTTAAGTCAAGAGTAAACCCATTGAAATCAGTCATTATGATTATGAAAGCCACACAAAGTGTATTCCAGTTTAATTGGATCCTTCAACAGCCTATGAATAAACACTCCTGGAAACCTCATTTCCCATTCAACATATATTTTCATCGACTCTCTTAAAAAAAAGGAGCAGGGTGTTTCTTTCCAGCCCATACTTCATTTTATATTTATTGTACTTTACAAAATTGTATCCTTATTTTCCAAAAAAAAAAAAAGAAAAAAAAATCATATTAAACCAACTTGTTGTGTGATTTATTATGTTTACACCATTTGCCTGTTGCTGATCCGAGGGCACCTCCAGGGACTCAAACTCACTCCCTTTCTGTCAATTAGAAGTTTCCAGTTGATTTTCAGTTATAAATGGAAGCAATATGTCTCTCCTGGGCTTCCTCTGAGATCTGAGCCTTCGCTTTCCAATGCATTTTTTTCCTTATTTGGGGCCCATACTTGGATAAGGTATTGGAAATTACGGTTATTACTCAAATTTTTATTTGTTTACTACGTCTTGCTTGGCGGCTTCTCTTTATTTTGCATTATTTGATTATTATTTACTGTGCAATCTACAAACCACAACACACCCAGCATGTTCAAACTATTCTGGGCCTTTTGTGCACTGAAGTGCTCAATTAAAAAAATGTTTATAAAATTACCTGCCAGCTTTAAACTTGATTTTTTTTTTTTTAACAAAATTCAACAATTAAATCAGTATGGCCCTTGAGATCTGCCATGGTCATTTCTGTGAGCCTTAAAAAAACCAAATTAGTGTTGCTAAAGGAAATAAGGGGGTAAGCCCTACACATTTAGTAGTTTTTAACCACAATCAGTCAAGGTCAGGCCTTAAATTCATGCACATCCCTTTGAAAATATTGCTTTTAATTATATTATGTATTTCCTCTAAGAGAGACTGCAACCGTTTATGGAACCAGGAAGATTCTGTATCTTATAAACAGAAATGGACAAGAGCAGTTGTGGAAATCCAAAACTGTAACTGAATTCTGGAAGTTTGCAAAGAAGTAGTTTTTTGGGGAAGAAAGAAAAAAAAACAACAGGCAAATAGACCTATGACTTATTTTATTCACTAAATGCACAAATCCTGTCTCTTGTTCATTTTGTTCTAGACTACACTTCCCTACACCTGTTTAATGTATATCCACCAGCCCCATAATTCACACCTAAATGAGATGTCTAAAATAGCCAAAAGAAAATGATGTGAACAATATTCTTCTGAAACAGATTTCAAAGGGTCAAAAAACTGACTTGATTTGAATTAGTCAAGTGGATGTTTCCATAAATAAACCTCAGAAGGAATTAAAATTCTTGAATTTTGAGTGCATCAAGCTGACTGGAGAATACTTAGAGGTTTTTAAAAAAACCACCAAAAATATCAAAAAACCAAATGTTTCATGTCAATCACTGATATCCAAATCTCAATTATTTCATGCAGTTCTCAAGTTCTGATATTAGGATATTCTGTAACAGAGATACAAGGGGGAAGCTGAAATATCCTGGTATTTTCTGGCTCCAACTGGAGCTCTGCCCAACCCACGGGATGGGATGTGGCTTCTAAAAAAAACTGTTTTAGAGAAACTATTCAGACAGAATTGAGCAATGACAGAAACTGCAATTAAAGATACTGAAGCAGCTATTTTGAATTATCTACCTCAGAGTTAAAAGTAATGGAATAGTAACACTGATTTTGAGAGGATAATGACAGATTCCATAATTGAGGAAGAAACCAATTAAGTTCATCATTTGGCCCAGTTTCAGCTCAAACTGTGATGAAATGGCAGAAGATGGAGCAAAGTCTCTTGTTTTGGGGATGAGCTTCACTCAGGAGGGAGGGAGCTCTCAGGGTAAAGACTCTGAGAATTCATGTGGGGCTTTGGGGGCACTCACACACAGAAATGTCATTTTATCACTGCTACAGCTCTGTGTGTCTGCACAGGAACCTCCAGGAAAGTTCAAACAAGTTATTTAGAAGTAGGAAAATAATCTGCACGAGGCAAAAGTGCATTAAACAACTATTTTTCCTTTCTTAGTCTGGCCACCTGCAGCTACTTGAGTCCACTGAGTTCACCCTGAGTAGTCCATCCTTCCCTGGGCAAGCCACCAACACCAGCTGCAAGGCTGCTCTCTTGCTAATACTTTATCTCTGTCATAAAATAAATAACATCTCTCTTTTTTTTTTTTTTTTTACAAACCTTAAAGGTTGCTTTCCAAATAAAAATCTTGAGCGCTGGAGGCGTAAGACAAGGTGTTTATGTGCTCCAATATGGAATGCCCAAAGATATGTGTAAACTGGGTCTGAAAATGTCTTTGGTTGCCACTGTCAGAAATGATAATGCTTTGGCAATGAAAAAACCACCTCATAGTTTTATTTCAAATAAATTATCATTTCAGGGGTTTGGGGTATATTTTTGAGCACATTAAATGCCCAACTGTCCTAAGTACGTTCAGCTGGGAAAAGCAAACCAAAACTACCCTCAGACTGTGGATTTCCAAGGTGGGGGATCCTGGACTGTTTGCATTCAAGTAGTTCTATCACTAATAATAAAAAAGTCTTTAACTGCAGTCAAACTTCAGAGTACAAACTATCTATAAACTCTAGGTTAGTTTAATTTTTATTCATGCTTTTTATGTAAAAATAATGACGGTTA